ATTAACAAAAGAGAATTTCTGTGACACAGCCAAAATACTTCTGAGGAAAAGACAGCATGCTGAGTCTAGTCACGGGGCAATTGAACTCATTTAACACAGGAGGGGAAAACAGTGGAAAGCAAATGAAAAGTGCCATGGCTGAGCCTGGAAACCTCACTGATGGGAAGTGATCACGTTTCAAAAAGGTTGAGATAAAGAAACCATCATTAAGCAATTCCTCAGGAGACATTAGGAGCCAGAAGCCTGGAATTAGAATTCCAGGAAGGAACTTTAAACACAGAGTACCTTCCTTTGCTTTTTCTTTTTTTTTTTTTAATTCTCTTATTTACAGATCTATTGTGAATTTTCTCCTACATCTACTTGTCAGCTAACTCTGGAAGAACCTACATGGCTTTCAGGCACTGTGAGCTCAGTCCCACACATCTGATCATTCCATGACTTGATTCATAGGAGCATTGCAAGACACATACTAAAAGCTCCTGTGAACAACCCATTCATTCCTAACAGAAGCCAATTAGGCTTCTGCAAGAAAATGTTCTTGGACTCTGGATGCTAGAAATGACAATTAAGTTTTATGGTAATAGTATGACTTCCAAAATTCCAGTTCTATACCTTAAATATTGGGTCTTGTTGCCATTGTTCAAAGTCAGCAATTTAAACATTGGAGATAATTCTATACGTGATGTTGCTAAGGGAAAGACTGAGATGGAAACTCATAAATTCACAAGGAGAAAAGCTTACTTGTAAGGCCTTGTATGTGAAATAAATAATCTATCCTATCTGAAACTACAAAAACTCTGAAAGAAACTTCATATGGAAGATAACCCATATTATCACATTTGCTGTGGGTTATCCAGTATATTTACACACTTTGCACTTGAATAGCACAAAGCAATCTCAAAAGCAGCTGCTAGGGAAACAACAATTATGACTTGCTCTTGTTGTTACACCTAAATCCACATCTTTAATTTAGGTCACTGTGCACTAACAAAGATGAAGATACTCTGCCCTCAAAGGTGCATACAATATAATAATATATATGTATGAGGCAAAGCAGAGAAAGAAGGGACATTTCAATCCTCCAAAGCACAGACATCAGACAGAAGCTGTAAGAGATTGATGGCCATATTTGCAAAAGTGCTTATTTGACAAAACAAAACCCTCACCTATCTCCTAAACTTCCAGAGGGGCAAGAATTTCTTATGCTCTGTCAAACTCCCCTGCCCAAAAAAACTTTCCAAAAAATCCTAACATTCATTTTCTCTAGACCACAATTTCATAAGGGACAGATGCAAAGAACACTTGTTCCTAAAAACAGACAATTTTTTTTATAAAGTGATCAAAGCCCTCAGAATCTTTTATCTGATGGTCAAGGATGTTCTCTGTGAAATTAGAAATGCAAATTTGGAAACTTTCAGATGGAAGATGGCATTGAATTTTAAATCATCAAAGTAGGCTTTGTTTTAATGCTTATTTATGTTTGATCCAGAGAAATGCTGCAGAAATATGGCTAAACATTACTATTGCCTTCATTAAAACAAAACAAAAAAAAAAGGTGAGATATGAATACTTCCATCCATCTTGGATGGAAGTAGATGGATGGTAAATAAGATGATGGATGATAGTCCATCTTATTTACTAAAAGCTACATAAGAAAATTTTGATTGAAAGATAAATCAACACCATATTTCATTACTGCTAGCCCAGTACTTTAGGCATAAAAAGAATTTTTCTGTAATTATCAGTTTCCCCTCAGCTAGTTTGTGCCCGCACTGTGTCTTACTGAGAAGTCATTCTGCTACTGATACCTAAAGTACCACAAAGTGATTTAAGATGAGTTTTTTTTCTTTTTGATAGTGTTCTTTTAGATATTCTTCTGATCTCTTCTGAAGCCATCTATGTTCCTTCATTCCCCATTTTTCTTTGCAGTTATGATTTCCTTTTCTCTTTGAAATTCCCACCTTCTTCTACAGAAGGAAGCAGCCTAAAGAAGTAGAGTACTGAAATCTCACCTCCTGATGTTCTTCGAGAACCATTTGGACACTTGGTACTTAAAATCTTGAATCCTACAGAAATCTTCAGTGAAACTGTGCAAAAATGAAGAGAGCAACAAAGAATACAGAGACTTCCAGATGATGTGAGATTAAAAAGACAATCTTTAAAATGTGCTAAATGAAAGTTGGTGAGAACTTAACTTTAGCCATAAAGTGATAAGTTAAAAAACTAGAGAATGCCAAGAATCTAATTCCAAGTCTATGCATTTGAACTTAAATTCCTTAGGACTAGAACATTAGGGTGGAAGTTGATAGTTTTCATGAAATATCCTATCAGTCTCACCAAACATGTCCTTCCAGAAGCACCTCATTATATTTAAAGGATTATAGCACAAGTCTATCACTGGCACAAGCTGGTGAACGTGCAGTTCACTTGCACATTTCTATTTGATGGCATTTCTTTCCTTCTGAGTTGTTTAGAATAAACAACTTGAAGTTTACAGCATGAATTTGTTGAGATCAAGAACCCAAGAGTTCTGCTTGCTCGTTTGCTGTGAGAATGTCACTGTAAATGGCGCCACTGTGCAAAGCCCTTTGGTGACCTTTCTGTGGCACACCACATCCACCATAACAACCTGGTGAGACAGGAGAGTTCTCATCACTCTGGAGAAAGACAGGTTCAATGATCAGAGGTTCTAAAATCTCTTTTAATCATCAATATCAGAATCAGTGACTCAGATGTATTCAGAGGGTGAAGCTGTGGGGGAGTTTCTTTAAAAAGAGCAAGCAAAATAGAGTAAGCAAAGCACAAAACTAATTAAACTTGATGCAACAAAAAACTCAAGCATTTTTGATGCAATTTATTAAGGAGAAAAAGCTGTGAAATTAACAGCAATCAAAAACTAATTAAAGTTGATGCAATAGGAGCAGCCAAAGAATGCCTGATAACATTTATTGAACCAAAGAAACATGGCTGTCAAGCTAAAAGAAATCAACCAAACTCTGTTTTTGAATAGTTACACAAAGATAATTATTGTCTGGATGACACTTACAGAATAAGATTCAAGTCATTACCTCAAAAGACAAAAGGACTGACATGCTGTGTTAAACTGCCTGTGAAAAAAAAAAGGCCTTAATACAGAAACTTCGCAAGTAATTCCTAAGTCTTGCATATAAACAAGAATGATTCATCAATCAAAAACAATGCACTGCTACTGTTATATCTATTACTTCTAAAAACTATTATTTGACAAATATTTTGGGAGAATACCTTGTGTAACAGGGTACATACAAGGCAGGGACTCCTGTATTTTCATTCTATCTTTGAAACTCATTGCCTCAGTGCCTGGGGCAAGTAATTATCATCTAGGAGTCCATTTGTTTTAGGATTAGGATGCAAAATTCAATTCCTGATGTCAAGCACCATTTGAAGTATGGCTTACTGCCAGAAATTCTTTTCCTAAAGAACGTCCTGGTGGGGAATAGTGAAGTGGATCTGTCTGCAGTGAGAGCCAGGCACTTCAATTTTCCCTAGGTAGTTGAACATCTTTTGTATCACAGTCTCAGATTTATATTAAAAAAAAAAAAAAATCAGACAAAAATAGATGTTCACAGATTCTAAAATATGCTAAAAGCTTTCTGTTAAACTGAAACTGCGCCTTGTAAATGCTGTAGGATTGGTCACAGTCAGGGTCGCAGTAATCCCAATCTCATCCAAAATACTCAACTTCCAGCACCTGTATTCTGAAATAATCACTTAAAACCAAACTGGATTTTAAACTGGTGAGCCCTATAGGCTTTCAAAATTCTTCCTAGTAAATCTCCAACATTATCATTATCTTCATCCTCCTCCTTCATCACAAGGCTCCCATTCATGCAATGATCAAATATAAGTCTGTCTTGTAAAACATAATATCACAGCCACATGTAGCACAGATCCAAAGTAAACTATCAGATTTGGTTTGATATTTTAACCTCAAACAGATAATAACCTCTGCTGAGAAGTTAAGTTTCCTATAATTCATTTAATGCTTTTAGGTTCCCACTTCTTATGCTAATATAATAATCATAATAATAATAGCAATAACAAAAGCTACCTGTTTCTGGTGTAGGGCACATCAAAAAGCGATGTCTGAAGCCTGGTATTCAATTCCAAAAATCTGCAGTGTGATATTAGTGACATGACTAAGGTAGGTTTTGATTATTTTTAAGTATAAAATAGCGATTTAGTCTGTTCAGTGGTTCTGATTTTCTATTTTACCCCCAAGGAATTTTTAGCAGTCAGTGAAATCCTCATTTCTTACACAATCTTTCAACTGTACTTCTTTTTTATAAGAATGCTCAGCCTTACATTGTCAAAATATCTATTTTACTTTCAGAGAGTTTATATCATTAACATGGATATTTAATGGATCCTTTTTTCCTAGTCTGTTGTGAAATCGCTTAAAATTTCAGAATGAAAGTCAAGATGTTAAACTCTTCTTTATCTTGCATATAAACAGTGTCTTGCAGGGAGCACTTGTTTGTATTCACTTCAACAGCAGATGAATAAGGTTCCAGCAGAGCTCCAGTAAAGAGAACATTTTCATGTTTGTGTATTACAGATTTCAGCATCCTGGTGCAGAACTTCTTTACACTTAATATTGCAGCACCAAGTTACCTCCTTACACAAGCAAGTTAAAGCCACTGTAGAGTACAAAGTTGTATCTGCTACTCTGTGCCATTATTTGGTTTGTCACAGACAAAACCTGACTATAAAACTACTGTTAGGAGTGATAAAATTTATTTTAATTTCTTGAACACACAAGTTTTTAAAGAATAGCTGTTTCAGGTTTTTTAGTCAATTCTTCAGCAAAGAGCTTTCAAAACATGAAATCTCAAGAATTTTCACTGTCCTGTTTATATTAATTTTATAAAAATTAATTTTTATTTATTTATTTATTTAATAAAAATTCTCAGTTTTTTTCTCAATCTTTTTCTGCTGGGTAAGAAAGAACTGGGACTTACCCTCTGTGTCTAGGGCTGCCTCACTCTCTTCTCTCAGCTGCCAGGTCAGTCTCTGCCTCTTCAAGTGGAGAAGAAAAAAAAAAAATTCTACCTGCCTTTCTTGCAGTGGCAGAATATATTTAGATCACTTTTTTTGTGTGTTCCTAATACCCATGAATTTATAGATACTTGATACTCATACTTTCTTTAAAATAGATTGGAACTGGACAACATAATAATGAGGGAGCATTTTGAAGAAGAAAATGTGAGTTAAATGATGGTGCAATCATATGGTACAATTCACTAGAAATTGTAAACAGCTAAAACTGTTTTTTCTTACAGCACTTCAGATTAGATGCACACTGACAAAATTCCAGAACAAGTCTGAGGAAACCACACTGACAGTACACCCCTTGCAGGAACATGACTTGAAAATATCTGATCATTTCTAGCCACTGAGGAAAGGAAAACCTTTGAAGATTCTCGGATCATATTTTTTTCAGTACCACATAAATTACATCAATTCAATTTCTATTACCCTCTATTCCAGACCTATTAAATCTTTACTAATAGGTCTCCTTCATGTCATGCCCGTACAGTGAGATGCAAGGCCCTTTTTATCATAAGTTAAACCGTGGTAATGGGGGGATGGCTGGGTGACATACTGCTCTCAGACAAGGAGAGTAATTTGCACATTTTAAAATAAGAAATTAATCCTTATCGCTTCTATAACAACTTGAAGGACAACTCTGATCCACTGTGCCTTGATCAGTTTGACGTAAAAAAATACCCATTTATTGTTGTAGATAAAAGAAGGAAAGGAAATATGACTGCTGGAATATCTTCAAAATTGTTACAAAGCACATAAAATGAATAAGGACATTTTCATATCAGTGCCATTTGATCTTTTCCTTTGCTGCTCTCTCCCATGTTTGAAAACACAAACACAGATGTAGGCTGCTTGACTGTTAGAAGAAAAGGGAAGATTCTGTCACAATCTGAAAGAGAAAATTTACATTGATAAGGGTGTGGGGTTAGGGATTTTCTTTTCAGCAATTTGAGTTTGTTACTGACCAGTGTGAAAACCATCCTCTCAGGAAGCTGCAGTGCACTGATAGATTGTACACAGACCCCTTAACTTACCTCATTGCAAATTGACATCATCATTGCCAGCAGATTTTGTTAAACATGGATGAACTGCACCTCTTAAAGCCTTCAGCAGCAAGGCTGACATTTTTTGGACAGTAAATCCTCTCATTTTTGAAAAAGCAATGATATACACTTTAGGACACATCGATCTGGAGGATGAGTCCAAGCTCATCCAGGCTTAAAAACCTTGGAAATAGCACAAGCTGACCTGAGTTGCATTAACTTTGCTGAATTCCCCTACAGCCTCTCAAAAGAAGTGGTTCAAACATAACATGATAGGAGAGCGTTTACAGCTGTCGTCAGGAGCCTCTGCCTTGTGTGCTGATGTGGCCCTGCATCATCCTGTCATGATGAACTCTGGCTCGAGGAGCAAAGACAGAACACAGAGAAATATGTTTGGAATAAACTTTTCTTACATCACCTTAACTGCAGTACAGTCAGACGGGGAATAATGTGAGTAATAAAGCAAGGACGTAGCTGGCAAGAATGGGGAAAATCTGTCTTTCTGCTTAGCACGCTTTCATCTATAAATGGGTAAAAGTATGCACATCCTTGGTAACTTCAACACTCAAACCAAGCTGGATTTTAAAAGTCTAACTCACTACAGAAGTGGATTATTTTACACAAAGCCACAACATGTTTTGTATCATTCATTTCTTCAGGAGTTGGGGTAGAAGAGTTCAGTAAAAGAGCAGGGCATCAAAACAAAGATACATCTTGTTTTTTTGCCCTCCTATTTTACAAGATGGGTGTACACAATTTTTAATAAGCAAGGAAAAAAATAAATGTGTAAAGGACCTGTACAGTTTACAGTTTATTTTGTCCCCATTGAGGCTGCTCACTTTCTGAAAATATGCATAAAAAAACCTCAAGATGCCCCAGAGAGAAAGCATGAGACATCTTTTCTGCTTCTCCTGGGAACAAATCCCGCCAGAAACTGGTACAAAAAGAAACCAACACACGCAGTTATCCTACTGGTAGAGCTTTCCACAACACAAAGCAATGCTATTTAGCAGCACAGTACCTTGCAGTGCTGCCCTTTCACTTTCTGCAGCCAGGCACTCCCAGGTGCATTCCCTGAGCACATCTGTGATGGAGCAGGAAGGAGCTCCCAGCTCGGAGCCAGGGCTCTGATCCCCCGTCAGAATGGGATGCTGTTCTCACAGTGAGGTCATACTGGTGGGGAAGAGTCATTCTCAGAAGCAGTTGGAGCTGCTGGTGGTGTGCTCTCTAGTGCCAAGGTTTATCCCTTACTCCTATTTCCCTGAAATTCAGTCTTATGTCATACATGTAATACCTGATTCCTGAAGTGGGCCTTTCTGTGGTTCCAATGCAGCTCACTTGTTATGGGCATGTGAGGCAATAAAACCAAACCCTAAATTACATTCAGTTTTCAAGTGGAGGCTCTTGAATAGAGCTAATGAAAGGAAAGATGCTTTATCAGTGATCTGTGTAAGCAGGCAGATGCGTTTCACACAAAACTAGCAAAAAGCCCCCACTGACAAAACCATCTTATTGAGAAAATCATTAATTAATTGATATAATAATGCCTCATTTTCTTCTTTTTATTTTAAAAATTTCTTTCAAAACTGCTTTCTATTAAAAAAAATATAATTATGATTCTAGAATGGTGTGCTGGTTTTGGCTGAGGTGGAATTAACTTTCTCCATAGTGGCTGGAATAGGACTGTGTTTTGTTTTTGTGCTGAACACGGTGCTGATAATAGATTGAGATATTAATTTCAGAACAAGTTTCCATTCCATACCTATAAAGCTGAACTGAAACAAACACTTTAAAATTATTTTTAAAAGGTAATATATTTACATCAGGCAATTTCTCTCCCCTCCTCCAGATCAAGTTTGATACTTAATGCTACATTTTGAAGGGAAGAATATTAAAATGGTGATATTTCCTGAAACACGGCAAGTCCAGATCTCACTGCAGTTAAGTTTTGAAGGAGAATAGCTTTAAAAGAGACATAAAGTTTTCATTATTAACACTCAAAAGCTTCAGTAAAGAAGCTTGTTAAGCATCAATCCACAGCTATGCCTGAAAGACAAACGTGTCTTGATGACTAAGGATGCCTGTTACAGAGAGTGTGGGTGCAGTGGTCTAATACTTTTTTCAAACATTTTCTGTCCTTCACTGTCAAAAATGTTGTCTTTTCCTAGTCTTTTCCAGAAGTTAATTCAGGATGAAAGATCAGGCAGGTGTCATTCACATGAAGCCTTGATACTTTATTTATAACAATTTCTTACTGTGACTGGTGAGCAACCAATTTACCTGGAAAACACGCAGGAGGGATCCTTGTCAGACAGAAGGAACTGGCACCCATGAGGTCTCTCAAACACTTCCCCAAGAACTAGTGAACAGAGGCTGACACAGGTATTTTAACAAGAACACCTCAGGTGGTGCTCAGCCTCCTGACTAAGAGGAACAGCATCTTGTATGATTTCAAGGCTCCTACTTGCCTCAGCTCTAAGGTGACCCTCCCAGCTGAGTGCAAAAATAATTCCAGTATGAAACTGTACACTGCAAAACACAAAAAAAGGAACATGCCCTCCCCTTTCTGTGCCCCACCACCCTGCCCACCCCAACAGATGCTCATACATGGGGAAACAGCCATTTAAAATTCAAAACAGTGACCAGACAGCATCAAGGCTCTGAGGAAGAAAATGATAAGGAAATGTTTTTATGCTAATAAGAGGAAACTGAAGCCTTCAACAGGTCAGAAAAAAATACCCATTCACAATCCTGGCTTATCTGCACAGAGAGAAAATTCCGCATGTGTGAGTCAGTTGCTAAGAAAGCTCTGACTAATGCAGATACAAGTCTGACTTTTTAAGTTGACATTTCTACTTTTGCAGTGGATCAGAACTGTCAGGAGAGTTCCCCAGGCAGAGCAGAGGATTGCAGAGCAGAGCTATTCTGCAGCAGTCTGAGCTGTGGAGTAAGTGCTTTGATGGAATTAGTAATGGTGGTTTAAGGAACAGCCTCGGATTCTATTCCCAGCACTAGCAATTACCACTCCCATAACAGAATCAGAACAAAGGAACAAAATCAGATAGAAACGAGCTGGCAAAGAGCAAATTCCCTTCTGCTGCTGCTTTCACAACGCCATTAAATAACATCTGGCAGTGGGGCAGGGCAGACAACTGGAGACAGGAGCATTTTAAAGTGCTGCTACTAGACCTGCCAAGAGCTCAGCTGTACAGAGTCCATCACGTCTCTTCTGCTTTTCTCACAAGATGTGACTGTGATAAACATTTACCCTTCAAAAATTAAAAATGATCAAAAATGTCTTTTATCAACTGCATCAGCAGAACACACTGTGCATCCGTAGATGGATTAAATATAATTTTTCTAGGTAGCTGGAGAAAAAAAGTCTTTAAAGATAGCATTTGGCATGGGTTAATCACCTCTCTCATTAAAGAAAGGAATACATACTGAGAACATCTTTCTGCCATCCGATTAAGCAATGAGCCAACACAATTGTAAATCTTGCAGAAATTCCCCATGGTTCAACTCAACAGAGACAATTCTTTACTTCTCAGACCATATCTCTCATTTTCAGATAAGCATTGCATTAATTGTGTACAAAAACTTTCTATCATGCTATTAACAGAAATGGAATATGACTGTTCTGCTTCTCCTTAGCAACCTTTGACAATTAAGAGATTGAATTATTCATATGTATTTTTAATAATATAATAACATTTTTAAACTCTGCTCACCACTCAATTGCTCAAACAGCATGCAAACCCACAACTGTTTGATTCCAGGATAAACAGTGCCACTGTTTCTTTTCTGCTGTTGTAGTGGCTGTCACAACTTACTGTCTCTGTAACTGAGGTAAAAAGGATTTCAGGGTGCTATTCTGAGAATCACATGCTATGAATTGATTTACAAGTCACTGGAGTTTCTTCTTTCTATTAATGAGGCAGATTTTAAGTCTTGTCTGCACTGATTTTATTATTTACAATTAATATAAATACTAATTTTCTACACCCCTATCGTGTAAATCTGATCAAGTTTGACTCATTTTCTGAAAACAGTTCAATGCAGACAAGTTTTCTCCTCTGTGCTAATAAGCAGCACAACCATGGTATTAAAAAAGAAAAAATGAGACTTGCACTGAGACTAACGATAATTTCATTCAGGATGGGGAAGATACAAATGACACCTGCTTTGTTTTTAGGCAAAATAAAAAAAACAAAAAAAACCAAAAAAACCCCCAAAAAAACCCCAAAAAACAATCAACCAACCAAAAAAACCCCTAGAAAAATCTGAAGAATGTCAGGAGAGGAAACACTTCCTGCATGAAGAAAAATAAATAACACATATGTGCCAAGACTGTAGATTTCATTGTATATTTTATAAACTGAGCTTTTGTTTACTGGAATAAGCTAAATCATGACCACTGAACCCTTTTGAGAAGACCCATCTAGTAAGATGGTTTTGTATTTTTTGCTTCTAAATGTTATTTTAGATAATGAGAAATTCTATTTAAGTTGCTTTACTTCCATCTAACACACACATGAGCTGTCAGTGTAATTGCATGGCATTATTATTCTCTTAGGCTGCTGCTGGACAATAGAGCTACAGATAGAAATAAAATAGTAACAGCTTGTGACAGGTTACACTTAAAATGTTTGATCAGATAATCAATGGACCTTTGCTTCCAAAGCTAAGCTGAGGTTCAAGGAAAGAAAAGATAATGGTGTTCCAAAACTTGGGATGTATCTCAGTGAATTAGAAGGCACTTGGGATGCTGCTCCAGACTTAACGTGGCTGTCACATACAAGAAATGCTTTTTACCATCTCAGACTCCACAATGGAAATTCTCATCTGCATTTTTTCTTTCAAAAAATATTTCAGTTATTGTCTATCCACTTATATTACATCTTGGTTTTATTTTAGATTTCAGAATTTTTTATCCAGTTTTGTAATTATTTTATATTATCTAAACAGTATACTGAAAACCTATTGACATTTGACAGTGAATATGCAAATGTCAATAATTACCTGTTAGTTGCTGTAGATTAACTGTTAAAGGCATTTTAATGTATTTTTTTTTACATCTGTTAATATGAGATTAAATTCGC